CTTTTTTCTTTTTTTGCCAGCATTCTGAGACCTGAGTTGGGGAAGGAGACAGTGGGTTCTGATATCCAATAAGTATGCTTTAATTTAATTGCCTGTTTTCAGTGCAGTTCCTCCTTTCCCATAGGTCCATAGCATCCCCCAGTGCAGCATGGGTGTTCTACATTTTCTGGAAAATCTGTGCCCAGTCTCCCACTGGAGCAAGAGGGGCATTGAATCAACTCGGAGTTGACTTCTTAAGTCCACTTTTAGCCACTCAGTGGGATCTGGTCACACCACAATTTCCCCCTCCAGTTCTCCATCCTGTCAGGATTCTGGGCATGTGCACCTGGGGTGTTTTTCAAGCTTTTGGGGCTGGGATTTGAACCTCGGTTGGCCAGGTGGGGACTCCGTTTCCTCCACATAGCACTTAATGCTGGATTCCAGGATTGTGCCCCTCTCCTGCCCCTCAGCTCTTTCGGTTCATCAGTTATCAGCACCCAGAATGCCATCCTGCAGTTTCTCCTTCTTTCTGTTCTTGTGTGTTCATGCTTTTACAGAATCTTTCTGTGGTTTTAATGGGATTTAGGGAGGAATCACAGGTGAATGTGTTCAATCTGTCATCTTTCATGGGATGTGCTCACCATTACCACATGAAGAATTTGTCCTATCACTTTGTGTGGACATGTGAGTTATCTTAATTTTAGAGAATGGCTCATTTAACAAAGTTAACTGTTCTAGTGTTATTTATTTTCCATGAAGCATGGATTTCACTGTGAACAAAATGGAACTTTCCAGGGTAATGGGCTGATGTGAGAGGAAAGACTCCCTTGAACACTGATGGGACAAACTCTTTTCTTGAGAGCCAACTCCATTCCCGTTTAGCTCAGAAATGTGAAGGAATGTATCACAGATGCCGTTGAGTGGTGAGCTTGGGGATTTATGCTACAAATCTTTCTCCGTGGGGGTTTCCATTAACAATTGCTGCTGGAATGTGTTTTATGGACATTTTTTTTTCTTCTTCTTCTTCTTTTTTTTTTTTTTTATGAGAGAGCTAGAGTTATGTATTTGATTTTGTTTGGGAATAAGCATTTCTCCCCATGTCGCCCAGCACTAGGATTTGTGAAGTTGAACTCTGAGTCATGGGCTGAGAGGGGATAGTTGCAGCTGTGGCCAGGTTGAGGACCAGGTTAGTTGAGTAAGACCCCAGACAGCAGGTGGGGAAGGAGACGCCGGAAATCCGGACTCTTGGCTATGGGCAGGTGGCCAAGCGCAGTGAACTTTTGACGAACCATTGCAGTGTTTCATCCTCCCTAAGGTAGAGACAGCTCTGAGGAAGTAAAAAGAGACCATGTTATAAGACAGAAACTTGGACCTTGCCTGTTAGGGGACCACCCCACCTCCCCTCTGCCGGGTTTGGCAAACTCCTTTGTCAAGGCCAGGGAACACGTATTTTAGGTTTTGTGGGCCATAAGGTCTCTGTTGCACACTCCTTTTACTCTTCGTTGTTTTGTTTTTCATAACCCTTTGAAAATATGAAATCGTTCTTAGCTTATTGGCCATATAAAGAGAGGCTGCAAGCTGGGTTTGGCTGGAGGGCCACAGTTTGCTGATCCTATAACATATCATTCTGTTTATTTCTCTCCTACAGCTTCTCACAGTCCGAGCTATTATTTTATTTTGTTTATTTCTTGTTTCCCTGCCATAATGTGAACTTCACAAGGGCCGAGGCCTTGGTTGTTTTATTCTCTGTTCTTAAGACCTAATGTAGTGCCTGGCACAGAGGGGCCACCCTCCAGTATTGGTTGAATGGATGAATGCATCTAGTTTTATCTCTGGTAATTCATCTGTGAACAAGGAAACTTCCAGAACTCAGGCTCTGCAATTGGAATTCACAGAGCCATTCAGGGACTTGGGTTCATCCTATAGCTGTGGTTTCCTAGGCTGCCCCGTCTGCTAGAGAGGTAAAACAAGCAAGCCCTTGGAGAAGGGGGCTGGCTCTCACCTGGTAATTGTACTCTCTGAAGCATTGGCCCATCCTGCCTGTGCTCAAAGAGAGTTTTTCCATAAAAATGAGTCAAATCCTATCAATCATCTGGTAGTTTGTTTCCCTAGCCCGTGCCCAATGGGCATAATAGTTGAATTATTTAACAATAAGCCCAAAAGCACTGACCAATCAGGACAGATGCTAGCTGTAAACAACAGGAGCTGCCATGGCGACACCTCCAGCTGTCCTCTCTACCCACTTCTCCAGCCTTGTCCCATGGCTTCAACCATGACCAACTGCTCAGCCTTCTGTGAACATTCCATGCCTCCCTTCTTGTTCATGCTGTTTCTTTCACCTGGAATGTCCTTCTCCAAGCTTCTTTTGTCTGGCAAACTTCTTTATATCCTTGAAGACCTGACTCAACTGTCAGCTCTTGTGTCCCCAGACACACTTAACTGCTCCCCTGTCTGCATTGTCATGGCATTTCATTTCTTCGTGGTCGTCACACTTCCATGGTATTATTGGCACTGACTTGAATCTGTCTCTCCTCTGGATTCAATCCTCCATGTCTGGCTCCTGAAAGCACTCAATAAATGTTTACAGAATGAAAGGGATTTAAATCAAAAGCGTGAGGCTTATATGGCAGATTTCAGGGAACATGAATCTGGGCTCAATCTGACACTTCCTCTCCTGGGTTTTGACACTTGGCTTTATCACAACTGCACGTGGGTTTTTTTTTTTTTTTTTGGTGTGAGACTGTCACATGTTGAGAGAATTGGATGGCAGAACTGAGCAGCTGGTCCTTTAAGAACTGGCACCTGTCCTAATGGTCCCCTGGCTCACTGTGGCCATCTGGAGGAGGTGGAGCTATGAGGCTGAGGGCAGGGCAACGGGCTGAGTCCAGGCTGGGTGGGTGGTGGGGGCAGCACGGCTCAGTGGCAGGAGACCCAACTCAGTGGCAAGGTAGTCAGTGGGCAAGTCACCTCATGTCTCTGGAGCCTGGCTCCTCTACTTCTCCACTAAAGGGCTCCACTAGATTCTCTCTAAGCCGTGGCATTAGCAATTCCATAAAAGAGGTATTTGATTATCAAATCGGATCCATTACCTTCTGGTCCAAACACTATCCATTCTTTAAGTGCCTTCCTCGGATTTAAACTACCTGCACCCCAATCCTATGTCATGGTCTGTTTTGGGGGAATCTAAGCTAAGACCCTTACTTAGGAGCCCACAGCTGCTAAGTGGTAACGTGAGATTTGACCCAGGTCAGGCTGACTCTTACCATGTTATTGGTGACTTGGTCATGGAGACTTGCAGGGTCTAGGCCAGAAGCTCATGGTTGCCAGGGCTGGGTCCTATGTATTTATGGCTTCAAGCACCTGATCTCAGTGTGGCCTGCATGGCCTTTCAGTTGAGTGGTTCCTGACTACATGTGCCTTCTTTCCAGGAAGCCAAAAGCAAATCTCGATGACAATCCTGTCTCTTACTCCAGGGCAGGCTCATAGGTGAAGAGGAGAGAAAGGGGGGCAGATGGTGGGGAGGGGGTTGGAGGATACTGCCCCTTGGCCTTGCTTCTGGTCATTCATATGTGTTACTCCTTTCCAGGCTCATCCTCAACTCCCAGCATCTTAGCTCCTGCCCTCAGGGTCTATGAACTTGGCAGGGGAAGGGGGTCTTCTGCTGAAAGCAGATTGTGGACCAAGGTGGGTGTGCACACCAGCCCTTGCCCTGAAAGTCAGAAATGGACCTGGCAAACCAGACTGGCATCCTTGGGCATTTGCAGATCATTTAAGGCCAAGGAAATTTCTGTTTTAAGTCAAGGGACTCAGTGTTTATGGCAACTTAAGGAAGGAAGCTGGAATATTCAGAGAGACGATCAATTAGGTCTCTGACAGGAAACAGGTGACACCAGTGGTGTCCTTGAGAGAATTTAGAGGCCATTTGCTAAGGGGAGGTGGAAATAGAAGAAACCCACCTGGACTGGGGCAGGACCTTAGAGCTAGCAGCAGGGAGTGGAGCATCCCCGGCTGGAAGGGCAGAGACGTTAGTGCCAGGAGCTGGAGCAGAGAGCCTTGTCTAGAGCTGCGGGCAGGAGACAAGGAACCAGCTGCTGCCATCTGCAGTGTGTCCAGGAGGGAGCAGATTTTCCAGCTGCCTTCTCCTCCCATCCTCCAACCTCTTCCTGGGAACTTTCAGTGAATGAGCCCAACCTGGAGCAGAGTGGGGAATAGGTCGGCTCCAGGGCAGAGTCATATAGTGAAGGGAGGGTGGGGAGGCCACAGAGACATTCAGCCAGCAGGGCTTCTGGGGAGCCTGGCCTGTATCTTCCTCTGGGCAGTGTCTGGTACAAAAGGTAGCAGCCTCTTTTTGCCATCATGTGCCTCCTGTTTAACCAGAAAACATGCCAGTCCCGGAACGTGAAGCTTGATGTGTGCCTTTACTTTCCATTGGATGCCTGCCTTTCTCGAAACCGAAGGCTGCTGAACAGCTCTGCTCTTGGAGTAATTGCTCCGCTTGCTCCTTTGCTGTGTTACCCTGACCTTGAAGGAGCCATTTCCCAGGACCATCGCTAATGGACCTTCACACAATGACAATAAAATATCCTGGCGCTGAGAGAAAAGGAAGGAGAAGCCGTGTCGAGTGATGCTTCGTAAGCTCTGATGTCTTCTCAGGCAATAGCTGAGGTGACTGATTCCCTGGCCTCACTCCCCCGGGACCTTGGCCTGCATTAATTCAGTCCCTCTGATGCTAGAAATGATGCTGCATTTACAAAGACTTTTAAAATTTGTGCAAAACCCACCTTCTTCATTGATAATGCAATAGCTCACAGCTGACTCCCTTTGTTTTTTCTAATGTCATTCTCAACTAAACCAAAATACTGAGGGCCGAGGACGAGCGGGGCTCGTCCATCTACTGAATGGGAAGGAGCTGCTGGCGGTGCATTTGGAAGGTTCTGTGGGCTTCCTGAGACTTGAAAGATGCCCTTAACTAGGAGGTTGGTTTGCTGGACTCCGAATATTTGCTCTTTACCTCCTCTTACAGGTAGTGCAGCTTGGAGCTTGTCTTGTGCAGATGGCCTGATAGCTGAATCCCCATCTGGGCCGCTTATTCCCTCCTGGCCTGAAGGTGGGAACGAATCCTTGTGCAGAACAAGACTCTCAGACCTAGCCTGGGAATGAGTAACAGCTTCAGCGGGTGGTCTTAGCCGTTGTCTAACTGCTGTCAGGGGCAGCTGCAGGAGGCTTCCTTGGGATAAGCGGGACCCTTTGGGGGTTGCCTGGTGGAGTTTGTGAGCTGCCGCTGAGTCAGGTCTCCAGAAGGTGCAAGTATGGAGAGAGATCTTGTGTGGCCAGAAACGTGCACTTAGTAAGCTTTGTCCAGGAAGTTGAGCTGTGAAGTGGGGAGCCTCCTTGGAGGGCTGTGGTATTCTTGAGCAGACTCAAAACCTGCCACCCCCATCTCAGTCTGGAAGTTAGAAGATTGTGGCTCTCATCTTGGCTCTGGCCTTTCACTTCCTGTGGGACCCTAGTGAAGTCTCTTTTCTTCAGGTTTCTCATCAGAAACACCAAGAGTCAGGTAGTGATGCAAGGGTCTCTTCTGGCTCAGTGTCATTGTCATCCTGGGGTTACTGTGCTCTAGTCCCAGCTCCAGACCAGCAACCACAGCTCAGAGCACTAAGGCTTCCAAACTCTTTGCCAGGCACCTCCTGTGCCCACCCATGGTAGCCTCATTACTCCTCCAGAAACCCTCCGGTGTGCTCACAATGAACTCATTCACAGTGGAGACAAGATGAGGCGATCTGTCTAGTGTTGCAGATAAGCAAGGCCCAGCACCTCTGCCATAAACCTCCTCAGAGCCCTGCCCGAGCCCACTTCATTTTGGGGGACCCAAGTGTACAACCCACCTATACTATCATTCTGTTGCTGCTGTACAAGTTACTACAAACCTAATGATTGAAAATAACACACATATATGATTAATGTCATACAGTTCTAAAGGCCAGAAAGTTAGACATGGGTTTCACTGGGCTAAAACTAAGGCGTCAGCAGGACTACTTCCTTTGAGGTTCTAGTCGAGATCCATTTCCTCCTCTTCTCTAGCTTAGAAGGCTGCCCGCATTCCTTGTCTTGTGGCCCCTTCCATCTTCAAGAATAGTAGACTGAGTGACTCTAGGTTTCTTTATCCCTCCTTCCTCTTTTATTGTATTTCTGACTCACTCTACCTCCTCTTCCACTTTAAAAAATGTACCGGATTATATTGAGCCCACCTGGATCAGCCAAAGTAACCTCCCCATCTCAAGGGCCCGACCCTCATCTGCAAGTCCCATGGCTGCATAAGAAACATATGTACAGGCTCTAGTGATTAGAGGTGGACGTCGCTGGGAGGCCATCATTCTATCATCCCATCACACTCTGAGGCTTAGGCTTGGGCAAGGAGCCATGACACATGTCCTCTGAGGTCTAAGCTCAGGTGATGGAGAGGCGTTTCCTCTCTGGAGCCCTCCCTGATCACACCCAGCAGAGGTGGCCACCCTGTGCTCTGTGCTTCGTCACCCTGGGCACTCTTCCTCATGCCACATGTGCAGCGCTCATGGGCATGTCTTCCTTCCTCCAGGGACTGTGTGGCCAGGAACCTCCCCATCTCTCTGGGTCTCCAGTATCTGTGGAGTGGTGAGTGAGCACATAATGGCTGGCCCACGGGCAAGCTCCCAAGCTGCTGGGGCAGAACAAAGAGCTTCCCCAGGGCTCAGCAGGTGCAGAGAGGCCCTGCCTTGGGCACACTTCCACGGACTATTGTCTTTGGTCCTTGAGTGACCTGGGTAGCAGGGTGAAGCACAATCCTAATACCCACTCACAGGTGAGAAGTTCGAACTCTGAGAGGTCAAGTGACTGCTCGGGCTCCCAGTGACCGAGCAGAATTCTAACTCAGGCTCCTCCTTGGTGCCTCATTCTCTCTCCCGTCATCCCCAAATTCACATGTTCAAGTCCTACCTCCAGTACCTTAGAATGTGACTACTTGGAAATAGGGTCATTAGAGATGTAATCAGTTAGGATATGGTCATACCGCATACAGCGGGCCCCGAATACAGTCTAGTGTCTATATGAAGAGGAAATTTGGGCCAGCCGGTGGCACAGTGGTTAAGGTGGCTGGATCCCACATGGCTGGCTGTGCAGCTCTAGTCCCAGACCTGGCAGCTTGAAAAACACACCAGGCGTGTGTGTGTGCACATGCCCAAAATCACGAGGAGAGATTCGAGAAGGGATTGCAGATAAAGCACGGTCACGGTCCCTCTTTCTCTTCTCTCTTTCTCTGTCCGATGAGTGCACACAGCCTGTTGCCTTTTTTCTTCTTAAAGAGGAAATTTGCACATAGAGAATCCCTACACACACACACACACACACACACACACACACAACGCCACGTGAAGATGAAGGCAGAGACCTGAGTGACGCTTCCTCAAGTCAAGGAATCCAAAACATTGCCAGCACACCGGCAGGAGCTAGGAGAGAGGCCGGGAGCAGAGTCTCCACCACCGTCCTCAGAAGGAACCAGCCCTGCTGAGACCTCAATTTGGGATTTCTGGCCTCCTAGTCAGAGACAATATGGCTTTTTGTCGTTTAAACACCCAGTCTGTAGTACCTTGTTGCTGCAGCCGGAGGAAACTGATCCTGAAAGGTTCATAAAGCCCATCGGCCCAGGGCCCTTCCTGCGTCTATACCCTCAGTGCCCTGCGCCCCGCTCCCGCCCATGTGCTCTAGCCACCCGCCTTCTACAGATTCATTTCGAATACAGCTTTACTGGGGTCTGATGGACTTACAAAAGCCTGCATGTAACATGTGCAACTGGATGAGTTTTGGCACGTGACCATCGCCACTATCAATGAACAGATCAGTCCCCCCACATTTCCTCTTACCCTTTGGTAATCTCTCCTCTCCGCCCTATCTCCTATCCCAGGCTTACTGTCTCTGTAGATTAGTTGGCGTTTTCTAGAATTATATAATGGCATCTTCCAGTAAGTGCCCTCTCTGTTTTGTACACTGGGCTTTTTTCAATTTCTTGGAATTATCCCCACCCTCCTGCTGTGGAACCTGACCTTCCTTCCTCCTGTGTGTTCTCTCCCCACCTCTGGCTAGCCTCCATCAGGTTTTGGGTCCTCAGAGAAGCCTTCCATGACCCCTAGGCCTGAAGGGGTCCCATGTGACGTGCTTTGCTCACCCTGCCTGCTTCTCTGACACTTAACAGGTGCAATTTTACACCGTCCGTGTGACTGATTAATGCCTGTCTTGCCCACCAACCTCTACATGCAAGGCCAGGACTGTGATGAATTCTACCCACCCTTATCCCTGGCACCTGGCAAATATATGACACAGAGGCATCTGATGAACCCGTGCGTAACTGTGATGGGAATGGGGCTCAAGAGCTGGTCTCTGCTGTCAGCCTCCCTGCGGGAACTTGCCCAGTGAACTTAGGGAAGACCAAGATTCTAAGCCTTCCTTCCTCTGCCTCTGGGGTATTTTTGTTTTTGTTACTGCTTTTTTCATTGTCAGGGCACACGCACTTGAGAGAAAGAAATAGAAAACTCCTTCACAATGGGATCTGGTCACACTGCAATCCTTTCTCCTCCATTTCTTCATCCTATTAGGAGTTTGAGCATGCACAAACACATGCCAGGTGTGTTTTTCAAACTGTCAGGGCTGGGATTTGACCCACAGTTGGCATGTGGGATCTGGCTCCCTTAACCACCAAGCTATGGACCCAGCTCCATTCTCTCATCTTTAAAATGTGTGTAATAACATTGTTCACCCCACCTGGTTGTTGTGAGGTCCATGGGGGTTCATGTACAGAAAGAATTTCAAAAAGCACCTGACACAGAATCAGCTCTCAGTTAATGATAGTCATTTCGGGGGTACAAAGGAATATGAACACCCTTCAAAAGGTTCGTGGAAAATGCATATTTTGAGAAAATAGCTATGCATGAAGTTAAAAATAGTTTTGTGGGCCAGCTGGTGCGTGGTGGTTAAGGCACTGGACCCCACAGGCTGACTATGCAGTTTGAGTCCTGGGTCCAACAACTTGAGAGGCACTCCAGGCACATATGCTGTGTGCCCAAAATCCTGGAGGGAGGGAGAA